CTTCCTCTCCCCCTCTCTTTCTCTCCCCCTCCCCCCTTCTGTGTCTCTCCCTCTTTCGCCTTTCCCCCCTCCCGCATTTGGCCTCCATCCTTGGCTGGTAGCAAACCATTTCCTTGTTACAGACATTTCACAGAATAATTTTTCAAGTAGCTACAAGTAGATAAGTAATGTATGTGAAGGATTGGATTCTGTCTATTCTTGAACAAGACAACTTTGAGATCAATTTTATTATTATTTTTTATGATTCAAAGAATTATTTTTAGGTTGTTATGATTCAAAGAATATTTAGTTGCATCCATTTTTTTTTTATTTATTTTTTCTTCTTCCCCTTGGTTCCTGGTTTCTCTTATAACTTGACGTAATGTAATGTCTTTTATGAAGGTAAAAATAATGTGGTATGAGTGAATGCCCATGTATCTGTCGATATATTGACTATATTAGAATGCTGGTTGAAGGATCCAAAAGTTCCTGCTGCACCCTGTCTACCAGAATCAGAGCAGCATTCCAGCAGAGCATGGTGGATGAGTTGGTAAAGGGGGAATATTGGTAAAAACTAGTGTGCTAGTGTTATAGTCCCTTTCAATTCATGACTCTCAGCTTTCCCTTGTATCATTCCACAGATTGAAGAAGTTGCACCAACAGTGAGACTCCTTGCAGATGGAAAAATGGAATGGAAACAAGTAACTGACAAATGGCCCAAATTTGTTGCACAAGAAACCACTAAATGAAGAAATGAAAAACATTACCAGTAGAGATTGTAAATGTACATCTTTTGTCCGATGTTGATACAGTACTGTGAAATTAAAGGGTGTCTTACTTATATTTTTATGGGTATAGATGTTAGGGGTCTTCAAGTGCCTCATGAATTAGCTTTACTTTTAGCACAGATTAAATTATTACAGGTTGTGGAAAGATCATGAAAGTACACGTAGTGAATTTATATAAAAGTTGATTTGGGATTATAGATGGTTATTATACCCTTTAATACCAGATTTAAAAATCTGATGAAAGAAATGTATATGTTACTGTCTCTTTATGTAATAAATAAAGAACTGTTAATCTGTGTTTCATTTGTTATATATGTTAAAAAGAAAAAATCAAATACAATTTTTAGAAATGGGGATATAGGAAATTTTATACATCTTTCCTCTTCCGTGTCGTCTTCATCCCATTCCTAAGGTGTGAGAGCCGTGCTGAAAGGATGAAAGGCTGGCTTCATATTAGTCACAAACAGCCTCCGGGAGCCAGGGGCATGATATTCCCTTGGTTATAGGGACCCTGAGGGGTAGAGTTTTTTTTTTCCCCCTCATTTTATTCGGGCTCACCAAGGACAATAATGAAAATTCTTAACCCTTAATAGAGGTATTAAGGCTTGCCCCATCATCAAAAAGCCTATCTGAATTTGATTTTGATGGTTTTCAGATCCCTGCCCCTCCTTTGACCGCAGCTCCGATTACTGATACTAATACCCACTCTTCAACGTTTATGAACAACTCTAACTATTTCAAAACACTCACCCAGGTTATTACAGAAAACACCCCTTCCTCTCTCCCAACATTCTCCTCTCCATCTCTTACTGCACAGTCCTCTTCAATGTCAACACCCTCTTCCCTTTTTACTACTCTTCATCCTTATATGCCTCCTCCCCACAGAACTATAGACCAGCAGCTCAGCGGTGTAGGGTTAGACGAACTAGATACTAATTCCGAGCATGTGGTTATTTTATGGGTTACCTGGGTTATTCAAAAATGTAAGTCTGCTGGGAACCCCCTGGTGGGGGTAGGGATGGGAACCCCCCTAAGAGGCGAAAATATGGGTCTGACATAGATGACCGAAGTACCACTTGAAATCACATCTAATGTTTGTTTATCATCAAATCTCCATCAACAGTAAAAATGACAGACTTTTTAGGGGGTTGGAAGGGCCTACCAGACCCCCCTAAAAGGGCTTCAAAATTATGCTAGCATTGATGAATAAGGTACTGGTCTAGAAAGGTTTACTCCAGAAAAATTGGATGGTGGACTATCAGCACCAGACACCCCCAAATATGGACCCTCGACCCATGGGGCTCATCTAGGCTAGCCTAGATATTGGAGGTACCAGCTGCAATCAGGCTTATATGGTGAATGACATCCTAGAGAAATGAAATTGACCAACTCCAGACGTGTTGATGCGTGGATGGGCCCTACCAGACCCCCAAACTGGACCCACTGCCCCATCTAGGCTACCCTAGATATTGGAGGTACCAGCTGCAGTCAGGTTTATATGATAAATGACATCCATAGAAATAGAAAACGGTGTACACATAGCTTCAACGAGCAAGGACCTTCCTTCAGACGAGCAGGTGGAGCTTTTGATTACCCAAGAACACAACCATTTGATAAATGATTGCCATCATCAACAACTTGAAACCATTTAACCTTAAACTAGCAAATAGAAAAGAAACTGCAATGAAAACATCACTCTTACAACTGTAATGATTGCACAACTTGAAAACTTTGAACTGAAACTGATAAATCTAATAGAAACTCAAGGGCAAACATCACTATCTGTACTACTATAATGACTGCACAACTTAAAACCTTTTTTTTTTACTTTAAACCAACAAATAGAATTGAAACTAACGAAAGCATCACTAGCGATTATCATTTGACAGGGTCATCAGAATGTACTCAGATCAGTAATGTGCCCTCTATTTCAGTCACCTGACATTCTCATTAGTCTTCTCATATTTGAATATTTTACATTTCCCGTTCCACCTCTCTCTCTCCTTACTCATCCTTTTATCTTTATAAGAGGATCACACTGCCCCGCCCTGCAATAATGAGCGGAGTTTGCCCGACTGAGAAAATTGATATACGTTTAAAGCCTTCCCCTTCCTGCCCCAACAACCCCTGCTCAACATCCCCTCTTACTCCCCTCTCATTTCCCCATTCCCCCCTCCCTCTCTCCTTCCCCTGTAGCGACCGTATAAGAAAGAAAAGACTCTCGCAAGATAGGAAAACAGCTCACTGCCACCACACATTTAATACGTATGGGAACGTTAGTGTAATGGTTGTGAGGTGATAGTGTAAAGGAAGAGTGTAAGGAACGGAAAGATAGGGAGTGTATGTGTGTGTGTGTGTGTGAGAGAGAAAGGTGTGTACATGTAGTGTGCGAGAGTACGGTAGACGTGTCCTATAAGCCGAGAGGAGACGTGTGCGGGGGAAGATCTCCCGGACGCAGATTGGTCCCGCGATGCTTATGCGCATAATGATATTGGTCTAATCATTTCTTCCTTTTACAGTCCTTTACTGCGAGGGGTCTCTAAACAATCTCAAAATATTATTAATTTATTAAAACTTAAAAACATAAGAACATTAAGAAATAAAACAAACGGATTTGAACATAAAAGCAGACGAACTTGAACATAAAACACTAAGGTAAAACTAGAACACGGACATAAAACACTAAAAATGAACGAAAACACAAACGTAAAACACAAACACTGGTAAAACAAAAAAAAAAACAAAAAAATAAAACACGTAAATGCAAGGACATTAAAATATTTGAGGCACCGGGTCTTATATCACTGAGCTTTACTAAAAAATCACGAATGTCTCCTGATACCTTAGCCGATAACTCACAACCACTTAGCTTGAGAAAGCCCATTCCGGGGTTCCTCACCAACGTCTGGCTCCCTCTGTGACCTTATTTTTGCCTCTTCTGTTCCTCTTAAACTCTGTGGCGCGAAAGAGTAATTGAGGAGTTGAATCTCTAAAGTTATTAATATCTTTAAAAACAACATTAGAAAACTAAAATTAATAAATTAAATACTTAAAAGGATCATAAAAGAACTAAAATAATAGATAGTGAAATAAAATATAAAATATATGATCATTCCTCGTTCACTTTTTCTGCCACTTTTATGTATAATGGTTCCTTGCATTTAGGTGGAATAATAAAACACATTTAAAAAGAATGTTTAAAACAATAAAACAGACAAAACAATAAAACAATAAAAGAANCACACCAACACACCACAACACACACACACATACACATGCACACACATGCACACACACACACACACAAGACGTTCCTCATGTTCCTGAAGCAATATGGTTCCGCGATGTATGAACAAATCCTGTCACTAATCACTTTAATCTATTTTTGATTCGTCTCACAAACTTTGGTTTTCATTCTTTCATTGCAAAACACTACGAGGGTAGACATGTATTCATTAAAATACACTTTTTCCATTTATTAGAATAGAGCAAGGAATAAAACGGGCTATTAAAAGATTCTACTGAATAGTAAGAAAGTAAATTACTTGAACGAATGGAAACAAGATATTTGTGTGTGATTCTTCAGTGTTTTACTGTCAATTATCACCTCATTAGCAAATAATGATAACAACAATAATAGAAATAAGGCTTTATTATCAAATCTTCTCTTCCTAATATTTTATTTCTAAGAATATCTGCATTATTGATAAATATAAAAAAATAATTACTTTAAAAATAATAACCTGTTACATAATGAAAGGGATGGCAATTAACAGGAAGTCATCAGTAGACATGAATATCAAATTTGCAGGAAATATTTATCTATAATGAATATAATAAATTGAAATTTTGAGATAGAAAAAGTATCACATATATATACAGTTACACAAATAATAAGTGAACTATATTCCCATCCACACACACAAATAGCTGTGTACACACGCAGAGACTCAAAAAAGTAAAAAGAAACAATTATAACAAACATCCTCTTATCCCTTTTCATCCCAACCTAGAGGCCACATAATCATCTCTCACAATATCAATACATTGGAATCTTTCATAAAAGTGTTCTTGTCCTATAGTTACTGACTCCATTAGACTATTCATGATTAGTAACAACTGAATCTGAAAAGATGAATCAGTGAAGATTATTACAAATCACAGGAAAAAAAGGTTTGGCAATCACTGCTCTAGATGAAAGGAGGGAGGAGGGGGGAGGGGAAGGGTGGGTTATTGTGGGTGATGGCCAGTCTCAACATGGTGAGAAGGGGTGAAGGAGTTGGGGGAGATGGGGTGCTACTAGCCACACGTCACACTGTGGTTGGATTTTTATCATATTTTATTGTTCTATCTTTTTCATTACAATCATATTTTAAATGTGTGTGGTTGATATGGAATCCTTTCATTTGCATAGATATGAAATAAACACCGCACGCACACACACACACACACGTACATGCATAAGACGTTCCTCTCACATCGCGCGCGTGTGTTTTCTTCCTGCATAAAGTACATAGCATGAACTTCATAAAAGAAAGATGACTTTGCCAATTCGTTATAAATATCAGTTTGGAATCCTTCTATAAATTGTTCTTGTCCTATAGTTACTGACTGCAGTAGACTATTCATCCAATCGTCTTTTTTCCTCCTTATTTACGTCTCTCTTTCTCCGTTTCATCATCAAATCTTCTCTTCCTAATATTCTATTTCTAAGAATATCTGCATTGTTGTCGCAGAAAACATAGAGATAAATAGAAAAGATTTTAAATGACAATAAGAATAAGAATCTGTTACATAATAAATGGGAAAGGTAAACTCGAATATGAAACTTGTGGGAAGTTCAGATTTTAATATTTTGTTCCTAAAAAAATTGAAGTAAAAAAATATAAAATGAAATACATCTAATAAAAAAAAGAAGAAAAAAAGATGCCTTATCCTATACATAAAATAATATCAAAGTACTATGAATTTATTTCATGCTCGAGTTCCCCCTTGCCTTCTCCTTCCCCTCCCTAATCCTCCAGTCTCTTCTCTTCCTCCTTATCTATGTCTCTCTCCTTTCTTTTTTCATCTCATAAATTTCTTTCTTATCCTTTTCCTTCCGCTTTTTTTCCTTCTTTCCTTCTATATTTCTCCTCATTCCTCCTATTCTCGCTTCTCTCTCTTTCTACTCCTCCTCCCCTCACCGCCTTCTTCCCTTTTTCCTTTTCTTTCTAATTCGCTACCCTTTCATTCTCCTCTCTATCTCTTTCTACTCCTCCTCCCCTCACCGCCTTCTTCCCTTTTGCCTCT